TTGTTTCATCCTGAAAAACACATTCTTTTATGCTTAACTGCTTCCCTCTTACAAGGATGATGAATTATTTTTAAGAAAACAGTGGCTACATTTGGAAAGTCATTAATCTGTCACTTTAAGGCTTATTTACACTCCTAATCTCCTAATAGAAGACAGAAATCTCTCTTAAATCTGTAAGTTCTGGTCTAGGAAACACATTTTATTTTCTGACTTTTTGGTTATAAAAACATCATAATGACTGATTTTACATAGTGTTCTACCTCTTTATTTACAGCTTTAAATTTGGATTAGCAAGAGTTTGGTTTTTTTTGCTTTGAATTACACCCGGATTTATTTCTGGCATCATCTTTGAAAACTCCAGCCTCCCTCTGGCTAGACCTCGAGTCTCATTGAGCATATTCGACAGCCTCTGAGAAAAAGCCAAATTAGCATTTGTTTGAAGTTTAACGGTGTTGAAAAGGGCTGTCTGCTGAGACCAAGTAGCTAACAAGTAGACAAAACAAGGCACCAAGTTTGATAAAGCATATGCAGGTTAGCACATGCATGTAGCAACATCACAAGCGACAGAGGAGAGATGCTAGAATTTAGCAACCAGTGTCGAGTGAACATGAACATGATGAAATTATTACCACAACGGGGCTGTCGCTGTGTTTAGACTGTTATGACAGAGTTTGGTCTATGTGAGATAACAACTTTTAAAGTTATGACAGTTAGTTTGGTGTCATGATTGCAGTTTTCAGTTAGTTTTTAAAGAGGTCCTTTTGATGTGTGACGTGAAGACAGGGCAGGAAAAATAACTCCAGAAAAGCGGTCTAGATCAGTGAAGACATGCTTTGATACACATTAATCATTAGAAAACTCTGGTTAGACACCAGCAATGTGTTTTCTAACACATGTAATAAAAATCTGGCAGTCTTAAATATCTGAGGCAGTAGTTCCCAAACTTTTTTTGCTGGGTATGTGCCTTTTTCACGTCAGCTGTGCGCCACGTTATTGTTTACATGAGAGGAATTGCAGAATGGCAGATAGAGACAAAATACTGTTAATCTGACTATCTTCAGGTTTTACACGCAGTTACTGTCCCTCCATTTACAAAGGCAGAGGCGTCACGGTGTCATTATTTTACGTGTAGTTTTTTTTTTTCCTGTGTAATAATATTCAACATATCAATACATTTTTCAAAAAATGCCTCTCTGTGCAAAATGGGTTCAAATACAAACAGCTGTGGGAGAAGGTTTGTCCGTGATTTGAACCGGGGGGACAAATCGTGGCAGGATCAGCCTGATATTATTTGTATCCCGCTGTAACTTTACTGTATAAAGAGCAAACATCTCCACAATGTCAGGAGCAGTTAGTCATTACAACAAGTGTTTGTGAACTAAAAATCAAGAATGTGGGATACTGTTTGTCCGTGATCTGGAGAGCCCAGCGCTGCTCCCAATGAAGGGAAAACCAATTCTGCAGGGGAGACCTACCTCCGCACTTGTGCAGGTGAAGCCAAAGGAAAGACATGCTTCATCATATTTTCTAGTCTTTGGCTTGGAAGGAAGTTGGTTTGGAAACATATTCAGCGATGCTTCATCTCCTGCTTTGCGTCTGTGGAGGCGCCCCGTGCTAGCAGTGTCCAAGCATTATTTTTTTTCCCTTTTCATACCGAACCCCCCCTGCAATGGCTCTGCGCCACCCCTAGGGGGCGGGGCCCACACTTTGGGAAGGTCTGATCTGAGGTAACCCCTTACACATTTAACTTTGCACATTATCAGTTCTTGAATGTGCAAAATATGGTACTGGGGAAGAAAAAAAAATCGTATAAGGTACAGTGCTAACAAGCACGATTAGCTCATTAGCTAATCAGCTAATGGGCTAATCGGACAAACTCAGACAAAAGACAATGCAGCCACACCTTTCCAAACAAGCTAGAGGTGGGCAGATCCCCAATATCCTTGTGCAATCCATACATTATGCAAACTGAGAGTGAATACACCTTAGTCACACAGGTGTGGATCAATACAAGAACTGTATAACTGTACAGAGTTTCAGTTGGTTTAGGATAGGCCACTTCCAGAGCCAACATCTTCTGGTTAATGATTGTTAGAGATGTGATGGTTAGTTACTAACTTGAGTACTTTTGGTCAAACTCTGGTAAATCAGTTGTACAGGAGTGGTATATTGGTTTAGATAGTGTTCTTTACAAAGAGCATTTTGCACAGAGGAAAATGCAATCATACTATAACAATCATAGCATAAGTATGCATGTATGTAACCGAGGAGACCAAGCTTGAGGAAACTTTGGATAAACATTGTATAGGCCATATAGATGTTGAAACTCAATGCCCTAGGCAAATATTTAATTAAAATCCCACAATAGTATACATTTTATAGGTCAATTTAGCAACAAATGGGATGTCAGACTAGACTAATGTATTACAATATAACATCATACTACGCATGAATGCATGTTTGTATATTCCTTAGCATAGAGTGGGAGTTTGTTAGTATGGCAAATATTTGAATTTCAGTGTGGTGTGAAATACTTTCATATTTGTAGCATGAACAATGAATACTAGACACCATGCAGGCTGCAGAAAATATTCCACCATGCAAAGAAATGTCACGACATGCTGCTTTTCAAGTTGAGCTGAATTTCTTTAAGAGCTCATTATCCTATATCAACATGGCATTTCTTCCTCTGGCCATCTTAATACTGTTGGATTTCATTGTAATGCACTGAACATTCCTGCTTGTAGAAACACGCCCTTCAGTTCACACCCTTCAGCAACATGTTAACATGAACTGATTCTTGAAAAGTGAATCTGCATCTGTGTTGTTCGTAACTACATGAACTGAAGGCTTAATATGTACCAACATAGTTGAAACTGTACAGAACATGATCGCATATGTAACTTTACTGTTACCATATTAAATTAAGGAGCAGAACCTCTGATTTTGGCAAACTTTCAGTTTTGTTTTAAGCTCGAGATGTTAAACACATTATTAACACAGGAGTACATAATCTTACAATCATCATATCACCCAACCCAAGTCAAGAGATCTCTGGAAACCTCTGAGAGCAAAAGCTTTCTGATAAATATTGCTGGTACAGTTTTTACATACAAGTGTCTAGTGGATTCAAAAGTCACTCAACCAGTTTCATGAAGTGAAATGCAATGGAAACAGGAAGGCAATCGATCATATTATGTAACAACTTCTACAGCATTTGTAATAAAAAGGTTTCAAAAACAAACACTGCTTTACTGAATTATTGTTGCGCCTATCCAGCAGGTTTATCAGGAATCGTGTGGTCATAGGACACATAGACACTGTGGTGCAAGCATATGGCAGATGTATAAAACACATAAACATGCTGCCATGACCTGACCAATGCTGTGTTAGCAAGTCATACTCATAAAACGTGTTGTCACCTGTGGTCAAACAACTACTGAGTCTTTAACACTAGCTGCTATGAGCAGCAGTGATGACAGGGCTACGCCAGTGGCAAGAGCCACCTTTTTTTTCTTTTTTCTCTACCTAGCAGTGTGACAGGGCCTGCCTGATGGGGATTTGTCTCTACTGAGGCACTGCTTTTAATCTTCTGCTTATATGACACACAGAGGGCCCATCCACAGCCTGGCCCTGCCACAAAAACAGGACTCTAGATTGTGGGGTCATCACCCATTGGCAAAGACACATCACACAGGATGAAGCTCTCTCTCCTCCCTGTGCACTGACAGAAC